GGAGCCCTGGCCCAGGCTGCCCAGGGAGGCTGTGGAGTCTCCTTCTCTGGAGATATTCCAGCCCCGCCTGGCCGCGGTGCTGTGCAGCCTGCTCTGGGTGACCCTGCTTGGGCAGGGGGTTGGGCTGGGTGACCCACAGAGGTCCCTGCCAATCCCTACCATTCTGTGATTCCTTCTTCATTTAACTAGGCATGCTCGCAAGCTGGGGGGGTGCAGTGTTTCTGGCTGTGAACTGAGTTGGTGGTCGCGATCTCCCCCTGCCGCCTTTCCCTTTTTCCTAGTCAGTTACCCTAGATCTTTGTTAACTTCATGCTGCTTTGGCGAGGAGAGTTGGGGCTGTTCAGCCTGGAGAAGAGAAGGCTCTGGGGTGACCTTAGAGCAGCTGCCAGTACCTGAAGGGGCTACAGGAAGGAAGGAGAGGGGCTTTTCACAAGGGGGTGTAGTGATAGGACAAGGGGGAATGGCTGTAAACTAAAAGAGGGGAGATTTAGGTAGGAAGAAATTCTTCACCATGAGGGTGGTGAAACACTGGCCCAGGTTGCCCAGAGAAACTGTGGCTGCCCCCCTCCCTGGCAGTGCTCAAGTCCAGGTTGGATGGAGCTCTGAGCAGCCTGGTCTGGTGGAAGATGTTCCTGCTCATGGCAGAGGGGTTGGAACCAGATGATCTGTAAGGTCCCTTCCAACCCAAACCATTCTATGATTCTTTGTCAATCATCCAGCTTTCAGTGCCTTCTGGGCAGGATGTTCCCCTTTTGTCAGTCTGTTAGCTCCCCTTCAGGAGAGTAGTCGTTAGTAAGGCATTAATTGTCTGTACAAAGTAGTTGGGCCTAAATTAAACGGTGTCACTGTGACCTAAGCCTTTCTGCCTGATACCCCTTGCAGTCACAGAGGTATTTTCATGGGATCCTCCTGCTTTACGCTGGGAGCTCCGTTATTCCCATTTTATGTGGATCACAGAGCGGCCCGAGTTATCCCTCTTCTCTCTGGGAGGTTGGACGCTGAAGGGTGTTCCAGGAGGGAAGTTCAGTGACCTCCCCAGGATCACTCGGGAAACCTGTGGCAGAGGAAAGACTGGAATCTGCGCTTTAATGGTCCTGGTTCAAAGACCAGGAGCATAGACAGCGTTGTTAATCCAAACCCTTCTCCCACCAAAAAGGAGAATTCTTGCTTCTCCAGAGAATTTCTTTACCTGTGGGATCAAGAAGAAGGTGAATAGTTTGGCTGTCACCAGGGAGAGATCCGAATTGTGCGGTCCGATCACAGCAGTCACGCGAGGCTGGTAGTCGGTGTAGTTGCACAGCACGCCGATGTCCCTGGTGCCGTTTGGGGTCAGAAATAGCAAGCTGGGCTGTAAGGCCACGGCTGGCTCGAAGCAGGTGTCGTATATGTCATAGCCCAGCTTTACTCCCGGGAGCAGTGAAGTGGAGTTGTTGATCTGATCGATAGCAAACTTCATCCCCAGAGCCCATATTAGCCCATCCACGTATAACCTGCGGTAAGAGGAGACGGGATTACAGGGTCCATCAGTGCCGTTACGGTGGTGATCAGCTTATTCCACATTCTCCAACATTTTGGCATCCTGTCTGTCGCCAAGCCAGATCCGCACGGCACTGTCAGCAGAGCATCCCTGTACCTATAGCCCTTGTAAATTTTGTACTCTGAGTAGAGAGGCCGTGAGCACCTTTCAATCTAATTAATCGTGTCTGTCAGCAAATAAATCCTCTGTGTTCACAGGGGAAGAAACAGAGGTATGGAGAGACCAGTGGGTTTAGCTGTGAGGACCGAGACTCAACCTCCTGCTCTTAGCTTTGTGTACTTCAGCCATGAAGCCAGTGGTTCCCAAAGTCCTGTGCATGCTAATTCAGGAGAGATGTCCTTCCTCCTGGGATTCTCCTCCACTGTGCAGCTCTGTGCACTGGGCATATTCCCTGCCTCATGGCCTGCGAAGTTGGGAAGGCTTTGGACCATGCTTTTCTGCGCTTTGCTGCTGCCGAAGAAGCAGGTAGGACACTAGCATGTCTTTTCATTCTCCTCACAAAGAGCTGTTAAGTAGCTTGTAATGTGATGGTGTGAACCACCTTGGTGTAACCGAGTAGGAAATACTGATCACACACCAGCAAGCCCGCAAGCCAGGTGATTTTGTTTCCTGCTTTGCCTTGTGCCCAGTGGTGTAACCGAGTAGGAAATACTGATCACACACCAGCAAGCCCGCAAGCCAGGTGATTTTGTTTCCTGCTTTGCCTTGTGCCCAGTACTGAGTGTCCTTTTGCCTCAGTAAAAGGCAGCAGAGCCATCACAACACGTGTTATCTGCCTCCAGAGTGCAGCGCGTGCTTCTCCTTCCATCTGGAGGCAAAAGCAACATTTACACCTTTGTGTAAGTGTTAGAGTCAAACCACTAAGGAAGCCAGTGCTGCTAAAAGCTTTCATCAAGATGGGGTTGGTCACGTCTGAAGTTTCACTGCATGGTAAGATCAAGAAAACACAGAAACATTTTCCATTTCGGGATCAGAAACTGATGGCACCGTGCACCAGCGCTCCAGCACCTTAGAGCTAATCTTTGGCTCCGTCTCGCCTTTAAAGTTTGCCTCTGAGAGCATCAGTTCCTACCGGGAGGACTACTTTCCTCTCCTTTTCCCAGCCCGAGTAGCCAACGTACGGCGTGCTAATGAAGCTAACATTCCTCTTACCTTTCACACACAAGGAAGGTGGGCTCCGATCGTGCCGTCAGGTTTACGGTGTCCGTCCCAAAGGGGAACAAGCCCCCTACGATGTAATCACCAGGCCTTCTAAACTGAGCCGAGAGGCAGGTGGGTCCGAGGGCTGCTGCGTAACCAAAGCTCAAGCACAGCAGCAGGTCCGGGACCATTATTAGTCTATTTTGGGGAAAATGTTTCAAAGAAATCTCCAGGTGAATGTGACAGAGGGCACAGTGGCAGGGGATCCAGTCTCACCAGTTCCCGGGATGGCTCTTTAAATACAACTTGGAGAGATGAAAATAACAGGAAATATTTTGTTTAGGAAAATGCATTAAATGTGTAACTCTGTGCTTAGGGGCGAATAGTCAAATACGCAGCGATACCCTATGAGTGTTCTTGGTTACAAACCGCTGGCCTAATCCTGGTTTCCGTTACTCAGCGAGTAGCCTTTACTCGCGCAGACTGACGTACTGCTCTGGAAGGTGGCCATCCTGTAGGATAGGTGGCAAGCTCGGGTGCCTCACCTTGATGTGGACACATGTCTTTGTGTCACCTCCCCCCACCCCATCCAGACAAGAAACAGCATCGTTAATGGCTCATGTTTGTAGAAACTGTCCCCATTCACAGTTTTCACAGACAACTGGGATTTGTGACTTGTGCAATGCTGGGAGCAGATCTCCATCGGCGCAGGTTGCTCATCTAACAGCATGGCCAAGGAGGACACTCTTTGACAGGAGCGGAGTCCAGCGAGCTGAAGTGTGCCTTGCGGAGAGCGCTGCCCGTTACCGTCATAGTGCCCGTGGCGGGGCTGAGGAGGAGAAAATGGGATGCATTAGGAGGAGTGTGGCCAGCAGGTCGAGG